ATGGAGAAAAATATGCCTGTGCTGCTGGTCAGGACTTATAGACAGCTGTCTCAGTCATTCCGCACAGGGCTTGAATGGAAAATGTAAACACCACTATCATTTCCAAAAGACAGCAATTATCTCCCTCATCTTTGGATATCTGGACCAGTCCAGTTGCCAAGCAAAGACGAGACAGATGATCTTTTCTACTGTTTTGACAGATTATATCCATGCCACTTTAAAGTGCCCAGGCAGCTGTTGTAGACGTTAGCTACATTGTTTTGAGATTTTTTGACACAAGTGAAGAACTGAAAGCGTGTCTGCACTACAATTACTGACATGCATTGATCTGGGACTGTGCTATCACATGATCTGAAGTGATGACAGCTGACGAATCTGATGTGACAGCAGTCAAAGTTTTGAGATACAGACTCAGATTATTTTACAAATAGCCATCTCTTCCATTTAACTGGTGAAGAGTCTCTGTACTGTTTTCCTACCCAACAACCAACAAGTGAACATCATGTTTACACCAAAGCTCTTCTCTGGTTTCATTCCACTTCCGGCATAAGGATCGCATGTCTGAGCAGTCTCATGACTTAACTGATATGCACTTAAGTAATATAAGGCTCCATGCTGCTACATGTCTACTGTCACAGGATACACATACATTAAAGCCACTTTTAGAGGAACTTTATGCAACTGCATCTATCAACGTATCTCTGTGAAAAACATACAATTTAAAACATACTAAACATACTACTATTAGAGTGACCAATAGATGTAAGAATATAATAACTAAATAATAACAAATAAATAAGTAATTCATGATGTGTTGGACACTGTAATTAGTGACCACGGTGCGTCTACTTAATAAATACTTGGTAGCTGATTCAGCATAGGATGAATGACCTGTTAGTAAAATCAAAGTCCTGTTATATCTTAGAGCTCCACTCTGTAATGTGTATTCAATAGTCATCAATAGTCTGGGTGGATTATTTTATCTGTGGCACTGATGTGGCACATCACATCATTTACTGAGAAAATGATTCCTCCTAGATTAAAAGTCTCTGTTTTAATGGCTTTTCCTTCCACAAGGTCATCTTGCGTGGCCTGGTTAGCAAAAGTCTGCAGGCTTTTTCACCTTTATTCTGACTTTTATCCTCTCTTATCTCCTTGACATACGAGGCAGGCCTCATGTGGCACAATGTCATCCACCCACATCCCTAGCTGAGGTATGCAGATGAATATTTCTCGGAGAAACTATTTTAGAAGCTATTTTATAAGAGAGTGACAGCAGAAACTATCTGAAGCCAGTCAATCAAACCTTCAATAATCTCCAAATGAGTGAACCTCTTACCCTATGGTATATTTTTTGTAGCATCAAAGATTACAGAAATCTCTAGACCTCATGCACAATAAATGACGCCTGGATGCTTACTGAGCTGCAACTCACCAGCTACCAATCCATATAATTTGCCAACTGTGCCAACTACTTCACTAAATAAATAACCAACTAACTAGATTTAAATAAATAAATGAATAAATGAGTAAGAGGATCTACACTGCATTATTCATTTGAAGAGAACACATCCGTAGACAGAGCAGTTGCACTGTTCAGCTTCCTCTAGGGCTTGCTGGAGTTTCATCATCTCTGCACTAGCACAGCTATGTCTAATAAGAACAAACACTATGCTGCACATCTGCCAGACATGTGAATTTTGCAAAGCGGGACACAAGGAATCCTTGACACAGTAGAGGCCCTCAGCTGATTAAAGGGGATTTTAAATGCTTTGCATTTGCAGTATTTGCATTATGCAAAATGCATCAAAGCAAATACTGCATCATTTATTAACAGAAAAAAATCAATGTATAGAGAACATCTATTTGTAATGCTTTTGGGATAGTCCCAAAACATTAAATTAGAACAAATTCCTGTCCATTATGTATGACAACATCACATAGCTCCATAGAAAACCAAGTGAATCATCATGGAATTTGTCAGTGACTTATATTTAGCTTATTTTTCTATACAGGTACATTTATACAGCTAATAAGGCTTAATGTGGTGGATTAAAACTCCAAGACCCACCTTGTAATGGAGGATTTCTTAAGGTGATTATTTATTAATCCACAGAAACTAGTATAGAAGGGATGAACCTATGTCTGCACTGAACCCACTCACAACCCTGTGCCAACTACCGAAGCAGAGTATGCTGGGAAGACTTGGCACGACATGAATAAACCAAGCTTGCTTTGGCGTTCCTGTATATTTTGGCTTTAAAGAAGCAGTGTGCATTGACCAAGCGTAGGTTTTCAGTCCTATTTTGAGCATTCAATATTACGTCATTTGGTACTTTTGCTATGCTTTCTGCCATCAAATCCCACATCACTTTTGTATGCACACAAGCCTTTATTATACAGTTCCTCATATTTCGAGATGGATGTCAGACAGGCATTTCTCTGCACTGCATGCTGTATGAGCATACTTAATACATGGCTTACAAATGACTACAGTGAAAACTCTAAAATTCCAAGGTTGCTTCCTTCAGCACTTCACCTTCTCGATCTGTGTAGGACTGGGCTAGTCTAATATGACAACACAGAGCTTAGCACATCATTACGGTGCCTGATGAAAATTTTAGCACACCACAGTTAGCGAGGGGGACATATCCTTTTTACTGGTGCTCCCCATCTTCCTTTTTGATCTGCTATAATGTGCCTCTGAATCCCAAAGTCCTACTCTTGGCCTGCCATTCTATGTCAATGCCATCCATAATAGATAAAACCAAGCCATTCACATTACTATTAATGGCAATGTGTAATGTGGGGGCAATACATTCCCATAAATTCCTAGGCATGGTTGGACTGGCCCTTACCTCTACCCTGATAAACTGAACTAGCCATCCATCAAGGTAATAAGATAAAATCAAGATTCTGTGAATGTTAGACACTGGGTCACATAAGGGGGTTGGGTGACTGCCCTTGATATCCTCTCTTGCATATGTTGCTTTAAGCTTCAGAAAAGGATCAGTGCAAATGGCATCATTCCTCTTCTCCCCACTACAATGTCCTCCACATCTCCTTGAAGTAAATCTAAATAGCTTAGAGTGGTTGTATTTTCTTCAACAATAAATTGAAAGAGACAGTGTGAAAGATGGTCTGGCTTGAATCTAAGGCCTTGTGAAAGCTTTCCACTCCCGGCTATTATATGAAGGTTGTGGAGTGGTCAGTCTATGTCAAGATATTCTGCATCATTTGCACAGCAGCCATGGCTCTTAGTGAAACCAATAAGTTGCAAGCATGGACAAGAGTTGCTAATTGGGTGAGAGTCTCTTGCTGTATCAGCTGGCCACTAGCTAGCCCCTGATAATGATACATGTCCACCCTCCTAAAATAGGTTGTCAAACTGCAGAAACACAGGTTGGTCAACAACTTTGAGGCAACATGTGACTCCTAGTGCTAAGAATAAGCAGAAACCTTAGCACATTAACAGTCACCATGAAGTCAGCCAGTCATCAAAGACAGGGTATTAATAGATCAGAACTGTGTCTTCGGCAACAACAACAGCAGAAAGTCTGAAATGACCAGTTTAAAGCCCTAAGGCTGTTTTACCTACAAAATCTTCAAAGAAATAAGTACTGCAAGAATTATTACGGGTATATAGGAAACCAAGAAGCCACAACATCAAACGCAGAGAGACTTTCCTATTTCCTCAAAACCAATTATGATTGAAAGATTTATCATAAAACTGTATTTCAGAAGAAAAGTGCACACCATAATTGATGCCTATGACACTCAGTCCCTTTTGACGCTCCATCCCTACTTAAGTCAGGTTACGTATAACATAACACCTAACTAATGAGGTAGAGAGACAACAAAATTGGAAAAACATCTGCACCAGCCTCTGAGCCTCACTTTTTTTGACTGTGAATACTTTCCCTGAAAGTAGATTCTGTTACTTCATGCATTGTGGGAAATGATCCATTGAGAAATACAACCAATGATAGGTCATAAATTGTTAATGTTATTGGAACAAGTTGAGTTTGAATGTATTCACACACACACACACACACACAGAAGGGTGGAATTCTTGAGATACTTGTGTCCAGATGTCTTGAGTATTGTGCATCATCTCGGCTCTTGCTTAATCTGAAACAAACATTTGCCTGACCTACTTATTGGTGCTGTATAGCTCAACCTGCTATATATTTTATATTTTGCTGCTGAAAAGCCAAATGTTTTCTTGCTGTTTTGTGGCCATTCTCTGTAAGACAGGAATTCTGAGTTGCCTGAAGAGTCTATTTTGATGGCGGTATCACCGACGAAGGTATTCCCACCAAGTCAATTAAGTGGGACACAAAAGGACACTCTCTCCACCTGTCATTGAACACTGCCTTTCAGCTGTGATGTCAAGGAGCAATAACATTCTTGCTGTTGGGCAATCTTCAGCCCACCATAATGTTAGCATGTTTACCCGTTACTAATGCCAGAACACCTACATGGATTAAAAGTACTTAAATCTAATCAACTGGAATTGAAATTTTCATTTAAAAAGCTTTGAAAAGAAAATACTTTTGATTAAGACATTGTCTTACAAACCCTGACACTTGTATTCCTAAAGTTATTATGGTCAGAATAAATAAATGTGGTGTAATGTTTCAGTTGATTCACTCATGGGCATTGTCTCTGTCCCAGATCATGCTGGCCTCTTAGGAAACTGAATACTGTCCAGCACAGTCACCCAGCGGGACTTAACCATGTGTGCTGCCAGTCATACTGTGAGTGTGTGTGACCCCTTGACCACGGAGCCCATTCATTAATTGTCATACAACAAGCCCACACCTCCCCTTCTCTCTTTGCAAGCCCATCGCAATCCCTTTGCCACAGATCATCTTCGCCTCCCCCAAAACAACAACAGCCACTCAGCTGCTGTTTGGCCTTTCCACAGGCCAGGTCCTCGCAGTCAGTACAACCACTAGCCAGGCCACACAACTGGTGGGCTGTTTCTGTTTACTCACCCTTTTGCCCTCTTTGCCTGGATCCCCTGGCACTCCAGCCAATCCCTGCGGAAAGGACATGTATCAAAGTGAATTGGGTGCTACATTCATGTGCATTTGGCATTGTAAGAGGAGATTATGGCTGGCTTCTTGTTAAAAACCTGATGCAGACAGATGTTTGTGCCACATGTTCTCAGCAGACCAGTGGATAACTAGTGGGCTTATGTGCAGTGATAGGAAACACAGCATTAGCTTAGTTAAAATTGCATGAATAGATAGAGGGGAGAATATACAGCCGTAGTTTCCATTCTTACTCATGAACAGTTTCTAGGTGACTTCTCCACGATCCCCTTAATAGGCAATTTGCAGCCTCGGTTGATGAGAGCTTCATTCCATTATTCTACACAGTATCTTAAGTTAATCAAGGTATATGCTGAGTTGTGATTTTGTTTTGAAGTTCTTGTGCAAGGACATGCTTATGGTGCTTCAAATAATTGCTTGTTGAACCTAATAGTTGTGCTTGATTGCTTGAGAACATGTTATGTGCACTTTGTCCAACAGGAAAAACAGATGAAAATGAGATACTATACATAGATAGGATTATTCATTTGTTACCTTCTCTCCTTTGTCACCTCGAGTGCCCTGTATGTGGCAAATAAATATTTATAAGCTCAAGAATACAGAATGTGTAGATATTTTCACTGAAAACAATATTAATGTAATTTAAGTACCTGATCTCCTTTGAGACATTCTTTGTCAGCCTAGGAATCAAAAACACAATTAAAAACATGTCAGTCAAGATGAAAACATGACTCACAGGGTTCCTATTTGGTATAACAATACATGCCTGCCACTTATAGACAAGCAACACAATTGGTCATGAGGTAATCATCCTTGGCCGCCATGACCCGAAGACAAGTTAGGGCATGACTATTACAACTCCCGAGACACCCTGCTGGCCACTGTCAGGGAACGGCAGACAGAGTCATCTGTCCACCAGGCCACAGAACGGACACAAGGCCGCATTAAGCATCTCAGCTTTCAAATAGAAGGCAAATAATTGGTGTCTTCTTTCAATTGGCATCCAAAAGTCAAATGCTGTTGACTTTTCTTGGAAACAGCTGCAGATATGGACATTCAGAACATATGTCTTCCACATCAGTCAGAAGCCTCAAGCAAAGAACAAACAACAAAAGAAAATAAAACTATTTAACAAGGAGGCTGACGAACCTATATTTGCAGCTGTATCTATAGAGTGACAACTCTTACCTGTAACACCCTAAGTAAAACATGCCTCAGTCTCCCTGCAGTGCGTTTGCTAATAAATCAATTATTCATGTACAACGGTATATCTTTAGTTGGCTTGTGAGCACTGAGTTTTGACCTTGGGCAGCAAGCAATACAATGCAAATCCACCCGCAGTAAGTCCATACTATTTTAATAGCTTCCTCTGAACATTTTTCTGCTCACACTCTCACACCAACCAATTTACTGACATGATGTGAGAAAGTTTGTTAAAACCATGTTTGCTAGTCAGGGAACTGTTATTTTGCTTGTTCTTATAAATGTAAAATTTGCATTACAGAATAGCTAATGGCTACCAGCAGTGTTCTGTGGGTATCGTAGGAACTTTAGTGACATTAAAGGGGAAAGCCAGAAGCAGTGGGACACAGTTTTTGTATCTCTCCAGTGCTGATTAAAACTGGCAGGCTGATCCCCTCATCATGTGTACATAATTAGCTAACCACCCGCAGAAGCACCTTTAATCTCCAGGATCTGTCAACTCCCTGGCTACAATGCATTGAGAGTATGTGCGGTTTGCATCTGTGCCTACACATGCACTATATGTGTTGATAGGTGACTATGCAAGCATCTGCAAGTACATCCATCTGCTGTCTGCTGACATGTGTACCTTCAATTTGTGTGTGCACTGGAATGAGTACATTTCTGGATTATGTTCTCTGTCCTCTGGATTTTACAGGACCACAGAAACAACACCAGTGCAGCCAGTCCAATTATAAGATCGAAATACATAAAGCTTGGTGTAGTGCTTCCCGGGTGTCTGTCAATGCAAAAAGTCTGCAGGGACAGCCACCAACCCAATAAGTGCATGTCTGTAGGATGTAGGATACAGCCAGCGACTACCTGTCAGCCTCCACCCCCACCCTGGGGCTTGGAGCCCCATTCTTCTCTGCCTGGTTGCCCATCCCTATCCCTTTTGGGCCAAGTGAGGATGCCCACTGAGCCCTGTCTATCTGCTCCTTGTTTGACCCATTCCCAGGCGATGGTAATGTGACGCAGAGACTGCTCACCTGAGTGCCTCACTTTCCATCGCTGTGAGCCAGATGCTTTAAAACTGTGAGTAGCGCCTGGTCAGCCAAAAGGCTGTGATATTTACAAAGCTCAGTCCAGCCATTTCAGGTTACACCCGCATGAGTACATTTCAACATTTTTGCTCTTTTCAATGTCCTCATATATACAGATAGCATAACAAGATGTAAATGAAACAGTGTGAACTTACAGGCAGCCCTGGAACTCCAGGCAGACCCACATCCCCCTACGAAGGAAGATAATAATTAGTCAAAACTCCTAAAACTTCTGTCAATAACATCTTGGCTGAGGGTAAATCAATACAACATATTTTTGATTTTTAGACATCTAGTCTCTTAAGGCCAGCCATCGTGTTTGTAATAAAAACTGGTCAGGTAAAATAAGATGTACTACGCATCACAGTACTAGTTCAACATATGCACTGTGTGCTATAGAAAGCCATTTACTGGTATTTACAGTATGTCTTGAAATGAACCCTGTCTGATGACTTTCACACTGTCAGACAACTGGCAGGTGGGCTAGTGCTATTAAATGTGACAGGCCTTAAAATAAACACAGCCGTACTATATCATGTAAAAGCTTTGCAGCATTAACAATGGACAGGTATGATAACATTGTTTGGTGACTGTGACATACAGACAGTCATGAAAAGTCATACAAGGAAAGAAGTAGATGTCTTTTGACGCCAGCATAACCCAGTGTAAGCAATGATCTCACATGCTTTTGACTGCCTCTCTTGTTTTTTTTGCCTTTTCAGATAAAACACATGGATCACTGTCCAATGTTTTTGCAGTTCCCTCCCCTTTTCACCACAGACCGTACTTCATAAAGCACTAAGTTGAGAATCAGTGGACAATACCCTTTTATCGTATGTGGATGAAAGAAAAAAAAGGGCCTTGTAGTTCATATCCATTTTGTTGTCTAAATGAATGTCACAGCTAAAATATGCCTGCTATGGGATATTCAGGGGACTCATTACTTTATGCTTCCAAATCTGCCTCCCTCTGTCAGTTTCAATACAAACAAACCTTCTCTCCTCCCCCACCCCCCACCCTCCCATCTGGAAAATAGGATAAAATACCCTGTGATTCTCTGTTGTCTTCACAGAAACACACAGACCTCATTATAACTTCAAGGCTGGCAGACAGAGCATTGCACCTACAATTATGTGGTGAGTTCTTCCAAAAGACAACAACAACAAAAAAAAAAAAAGCCCCAATACGGGAGGAAAAATAAAAGAGTTGGAGATATGGCAACTAATTACAGGAAAAACATTTCATCTCATACATGGAAAATAATCCCACTGTGGGATGAAAAGAAAAGAAAAACTTTAAAAAGACCAATATTTTCTGCATTGCAACAAGACTTAATCTAATTCATGTCAGTGATGTCAGTGAATAGACTATAAAGGGGCTGCAGATAAGGACAAGGTTTTGCATGAAACTCCTCTGCAGCTCCCAGCTTGCCTTCAATCCCAGGCTTATGGAACCAGTCATAACCCATACAGGACAAACCTACATAACTATTGGATTTCTAATATTTGAGACCAAATGTCAAATATATTCTAAATCAAGAGTCCCTGTGTCAAGTCCCCAAAACAAGCAGGCAATAGTATGCAATCCACATTTTTGCTTTAGGCTTTAGTCCAATAAAAAAAAACTGTTTAGAGAGGGCAAGATAAAGGGATTTTGTTGGGTATGTCCATTACAAACAGCTATCCCTATGAATATACAAATACTCCGCAAATACAGTGACTGGAACATTTTCTCTAAGCCGGGATAAAAGCTACTCTATATGACCATCAATAAGGTCTTGCTAAGTTATGATAGCAATAACAGTATTCTTTAGCTGGCCATGTTTGGAGTAGCAATCATAGCAGCACTTCAAACAGATGGGCAAACCCGTTATTGAGACTGGGATTACAGCTCATGAAAGTCAAGCAGATTCCCTGAAGTATCTATTTTCATTAAAAAAAGAAAAACAATTATAGTGTAATTTTGTCGAGGCCAGTATGTATGGCAGACTCACTCACTTTGTTTCCTTTTGGACCAACTGGACCAACTGGACCAACTGGCCCTGGGTCACCTTTCAGACCCTGGGAACAAAAATATGCAATATAATGAAGGATCATTCTTTTTAGTGAGAATGACAGATGATTAAAATATTGTTAAAAAAAATAACACAGCACGTGTTACTGTATGTCAGTGTGTTGACACTCCGCAGACAAGTATCTCATGCAGGTGTGAGATTCTCATGCCTGTCACGACCAGTCATTGAGAAAAGAGCAGATAATGTCAATCATTAGACACTGCATGTACCCAAAGTCTGCTGAGAGATTTACAATCAGCTGGTTACACAGAGTCTACCCCGCTACCCCCTTTTCTGTTTTGCCTCGTTGCACTTAGGTTTAGCAAGGACTATGATTGTCATTGCTTTTACTCCCTGAAGCGGAGGACCTGGGGGTGGAATTGAACTACGCAAGCTCGGGGGAAAGTCAAGCCTCACGGTGGTGAAATGTGAAAGAAGAAGGACAGCTGAGATAAAGAGTGATAGCTGATGAATGAGGCTTGACACATATTGACAGGCTAAATTTGCAGCAAGCCTTGTTAGGTGTGACACATTTGGGCCAGTAGCAGCAGCTCTTTGAAATAGGTTAGGGGGAGAACAGGAAAGATGGGGAATGTGAGCGGTCTGTAAAATGACTCAGAAATACAATAATTTGTCATGGTTAAATTTAGAGTTAGAATGGCTATTAATAGTAAATTATATATCTGCAGAAGATGATTACCTACCTTTATCACATTAAGTCTGGCTCCACCAGAGACGTGACTAATTCATTGCCTATTCCCTGCAAGCCTCATATTAAACACTACCATTCAGAAAACAGAAGCCACGGTAACAGTGGTGTAAAATAATTGCCCCAATGGTTAACAGCTTGCCTATAAGTTGCACTTATAGTGACATGATTTTATCAGATTGTATCACTTTATATGGGCCCTCAGCCAACGCACACCGTCACTAATAGGGCAGCTGTCTCATAGCTGTACATGAGAGCCCAATTCTTTATTTAAATCGACAGCCTAACCACTTTACTGGGGCAATCTGACACAAGGGGATCCAGAAGCAGTTATTACCAGAGCTGTAGCAGAAACTAAGGAGCATCAGAACACAAGGCTCATCTGATAACAAGGAAATAAACAACTTCAGGTTCTGTCGATTACCAAAGAGTATTTGATTATTTTTGTGAGAAAAATGTGGACATTTTATCTCTTTGTTCTGCAATATAAACATGGTTTTCTTACTGTGATCCTTTACGGTCTTTATGTGGTTTTTCAGACCACAAGACTGACGTTTGTTCCCATTCACAACTTTGACGTTGTGAGTTCGGGGCAAATTGAACACACATTTCTAAAGCCACACTACTACACATTATCCACTTCAGCAATGCAGAATAACATACCTCAGCATCATCTATTAAATTACAAAGACTCAATAATGTCATACTGACATGCCCACATATTTTGTAAGAGAGAACATCTTTCAACTTGGCTAAAAAATAATTTAACTTTAGCAACTTCAAGTATAAAAATCCATGATTTTGACAGCGTGAAATGTTACTCAGAGAATCAGAAAAGAGGTATTCAGCTGTCTAGAACAGCATGAAATCTGTATTATGGTAGTCCACAGTTTTGTAAGAGTATATAAAACCCCTCCTTTGATCCAAAAGTGTTGTTGGGAGATGTAAGAGCTGTAGTATGCATGGTTGAAACACGTTGTGTCATACGTGTGTCCAAAAATCTATTAGTCCTCTGTGTGATTGACAATTATTGTACTGTGACCTTAAGTCGATGACTGAATCGGACTGTCTTGTTAGTCCTGCAAGCAGCCACTCCTGCAGATTTCCAATCATTAACATGTACTCCTGCAAAATGTCACCAAACCTCTTTTTACTCCCGTCAGAGTTATGATCACTCCTGACCCCATATTCACTTTGCAGCCCTCAAGCACTCTGTGCCAGTTACAGTAATACTGTACATTTAAACTGAATATATACAGTATATATATTGTCATGACTAATGACAGTCTCTGATTTCTTTAACTAATTAATTTATATCCTTATAATTTACCTGAAGTGGTGCTTGTCTCTCAGTTATGGTGTTGATATACATACATGACCAGAGCTGAAGTGCAAAAAAGCAAAAAGCTGACCACAAATCAGTTTTATATTGTTATTTTATATTTAATAACATCTACTATACATACAGTTTGTACATCCTAAAATATGTTCTACCTAGGACTGTGATAAGTTTGAATAGCTATACTATTACAATGTAGGGATTTGATATAAGTCATAAATATTTAAGGTGATGTTTTACATCACTGTTGCAAAATGAATGTCCCCTCCCAGCATCCTCTCCTGAAGACTGCAGACACAAGACAATATGTTAACAGAAGAGCTGACAGGAAATTGCCATAATTCAAACTGTATAATGCAACTGGAATTGTGCAAGGTGGTGAGTAATTTTTCCCATGGCACATGTCCTTATCAGAAACCAAATTCAGGTCAGTCAGAAGCTCAGTCAATCAGAAAGTCACTCTCTCGCCATATATTGAATTGCATACCCTGTTTTACAGCCTAGCTCAGCTTTGCAACTGTTTCAGCCAGTCTGTGTGCCACAAAAACTGTTTTCTGCTGGTAAATATTTTAATAACAGTCAACAAAGCAGTTTTTCATTAGAAATTCATAACTTATCAAGTTTGCCAAATACTAATAGTGCACTCTCACTCTGCTGTCATTCTGAGTGATGCTTACTTTCCCATGTGTGCTTGTGGTTGTTAATTTAGTATGACATAAGATATTTTGGCAAAGAGAAAAAAAAACTGGACTGAACCAGTGCAATTAAAAGTGAGACTGCACTTTTTTGGCTGAGGGTTTTTGGCACAGTTGCAAATTTTGCATTAAATCTTACTCAGGCGAACACAGAAAGAAAATACACAATTAACCAGTTTTCACTCTAATTGTCTCATTTGCCTACAGCCGCTGCAGTACACCATGCTTTCTGAGTTAATTGAGAGTTGGTGCTTTTAAAATGTTCACTATGTTTTTTGGTATTTAATATTAGGGCACAAACAATTGCTTGTCAAAATAAAGAGTGCATATCCTAGTTGTATTTTCTCAAAAAGCTTTTATGGAATCCATTTTGAGAGAGAGAGAGAGAGAGAGAGAGAGAGAATGAAAAGGACATTATGCTGTTTTAATAGCATGCCGTGTTAATTCACATGCAATTATTTGGTCTTTGGCAAAAATAGAAAAGGGTTTTAATTCATTCAACTATCCCATTTAGGAGAGCAGAAATTCTAGACAATAAACAAATACTGTATTTAATGAAACCGATAAATGACATGGTTTCTCTTATTTTGCTAAAAAGTAGTGGTTGTCACTTCTGCAAATGTTTTACAGAACTGTGCAGTCAAGTGTTACCTGCCAATTTTATACACTTGTCACTGTGTAAAGTTGATCCAGAACACTCCATTTTCTCTTGTTTCTCTCCCTTCTTGAGCCTCCTCCTATGGGGACTTTTAAAACAGTCTTTCTAATGGATTTGTTCAAATGAAGTAGGAGTTAGAAATAAGACAGACTTTTTGTTATCAGCTAAATAATAGCAAAACTAAATGTATACATCAGTTGGAGTAGTTCACTAGAGAGGGAAACGATGTACTTATGTACTTATATTTGAATTATGTCAAAGCAATAACTCAGATTATGGTTTAAACTACACTGTTTTAAATAGTCTTAACTGACCAACAGTAAACTATTCAAATATGATATGTGTTGATGATTGTCAAGAAAGTCCCATCTCTGAAGTAGAAAACAACTAATGACCCCTTAAGGGACCCCATTTTTTATTATCATACTACCTTCCACACCATAGCCTAGTTGAGATGCTGACCTTCTGTCTGCTGGACTCAGCCGTGAGCCCAGAGGCCCAATTCAGGTGCACAGTGACATGGAGGGAGATGTAGACTGGAGGGGTGAGATATATTGTTAGCTTTTGTTGCAAGCCGTGGGCTTTGTTGCATTTACAGGGAAGGACGAAGGAGTGAGAAAGGGCTGGGAATAGGCTGGTGCTGGCTGTGTGGCTGTCGTTCCTGCAGCACGAGGTCAGAACACTGTGGGGAGCTGTGTACACTTGCCTGCTAATTACACACACCACTGTTTCTCGTCACTCCTGTAGCGGAGGGGCCACAAGACAATCTGGCAACTCCCCAGCACAAGGCAACTAAAGCAAGCAAATAAACAGAGGCAGAGAAGTGGGGATGTACAAATGCAGTCTAATTAAGTTTTACTTATACCTTTTACTAACCATAGCAGCTGCAGGTCAGTGCCCTTGAGTGACAAGAGGTAGAATAATTGCAGGTTTTAGTTGCTGTGCACAATTTAATCACACAAACTGGGTTTGGCCTATTGGGGGGAGGATAAATTAAAATTGTAGATGTATTAAATATTCATAACATTCAGGTGGGGAAATGTTGTAATACTGAATGACAGGCCTTTAAAGCTCTGTGGAACAGGATCTCTAAGTAACACAGATATCTTGAGTGCCGGCCCACAAATGCCAGGGAGGTTACAGCAGGAAATGCCTTTTGTGACTTTCCATTTGCTCAGCGATACACCACCACATACAGTGTGGTATACAACTAATCGCATATAGTGCTAGAAAAAATACCTTATTAGCATGTCCACTACACTCTATGAATAAATATAGTTTCCCAAGGTAACCTAAACAAAGGGTCATTGTGAGGATATCAGAGTGCAGTACAGTGTCAGAGATCCTCTAGTGCATTGGATATCATGTTCTATCAGCGTTGCTTGACTCCTTTTTGTATGACACTTCACTCTTCAACTGAACATCATGTATCCACAAATGTAACTTGGATTACCCACAAGATAACACGTTGTGCACTCCTTCTGTCCCATAGGACGTGTATCTGCAAAACGATACTTGATCACATGCTCATACATAGAATTCTGGCTTCTCAGGTGTCTACTCGAGCCTTAAATAACATACTAGCTTTAAAAATGGAATATGAGCTAATTGCAGTAAAGGGACAGATCGGGTAATAGACTCTAGTAGTCGCAGTAAATAGGTTAACTGAAATTATCAAGCAAGTTTATTTGTGCAACACAAAAGTTTTTAATTAGTTTAAAATCAAAGATAGGTTACTATATTTGATTTTAAACAAATTAAAAACATGTTTTCTACAGTTCTTACAATATTATACATTGAAGCAACTGAGACAAAATCAGAAGCGAACCAAATGAGTCAACAACCACAGATATAATTGTACTTAACAGTATCATTATATTATATATAAATTATTCATTGATCACATGATCTATGCAGCTCTCACAGTTTTACAGACCTAAAGGAAACACACAATAGCTAAAAGGTCCGTTTGATATCTACATTACAGACCTAAAACATCTGCAGTCTCTTAGTACTGATCACTGTAGGTGATTAACTGGTTAAGAACAGGCAGCTTTATTTAGCCGATGAGGCTCAACTTCATACACTTACTTGCTGAGGCACTGGGAATACTGGTTTGAATCCATTAATCCTGTACTGCTTGATGCTCACTGATGAGACATGGGGCCAGGTTACCTCATATCTTTTATTCCAGTATCCTGCCATCATATTAATCTAAATCAAGTAGAAGGGTTAGGTCAAGAAATCAGATAAATCAGAAAAAACAGCACAACTGTGGAAAAGACTAATAATGAACATCCCATCACAGCTTGATTTATGTTGTAATTTCCCGGGTAGGGAGACTATGTTAGATCTTAGATCTTGGTTTCCACAGGATTTTCACAACGGCGCATACATGGAAAATGTAATACTGTATCAATTGTGATAAATGGCTGAAACTTGTGTTGGGATTATTTGCTAAAAAAAACCCCACTAAGGGCATTAGGGAGATATTGTATTTAATTTCTTTACTTGAAAGCAGCTACAATCAATATTTATATATTAACAATGGGTCATATTGCTACTTGCATGTGAAAACAGTTGCTTCTGGTGACAAAGCAACAGAGAATTTCCCCCTAGTTTGAAGTTCCCCTTGCGCTCTACAGAGTGTTTTAGAATCTATAAACTCACTGTTTTGTAATTAGTGTCACTTTTGACAGCAGCTATGGAGCACCAAAGTGTCAGAGACCTAGTCATAAAGCATTTAATTAATTAAGAACAACTATATTAAAAAAAGGCATTTATACATTTGTGAAATTAATTTATAATCTATGAATAAATAGACTAACTCACAAAGTAATTAATTATTTGATATTTGAACTGGCAATAAAAAGAGGAATTATAAAAATAATTTACAAATTAAATATCAACCCATATCATATAGTTCAAATTACAAAGGGATTCTTTTCATTAAGCCTCTCCTTTTAGCCTTTTTGTAACACTTAGGGCCGTGTACTGGTAAAACAATGCAAATTAGTCGTTATGTTGTTTTTGTATGTGTAAGTCAACAACAGCTTACTAACAAGTGTGACACATCAACTTAAAAGGTGATACTGTATGTTAAGCAATGTGTTTACAGCTTGTTTCCACTGCCCCCAGGTGGCCAACAAGTTGGTTAATGCAGGTAATGGAAATACAAGCTTTTCAGCACAATTTAAAATCATTTCTTTTTTTTTTTTTCTCAAGTACTGTACTTTGCAATATTTGAAACTGCATCCACTGCAGAGTACATTTCCTATAAGCCTATTTAGCCTAGATGTGCCAATGTCATCGCTGAGCTCAGGTGACTCTTGGATTGCTAACTGGCATGCTAGCTAACAAGATACAGACGATTGGAAGGTATATCTTTTTCACTTTTCATTTAGCTAGACCGGCTGTTTTTGAGCTAAGCTACAGGCTAGACATGTCTCAGAGCCATCCAATACTATCCACAATGGGGGTCTGCAATCCTGGACAAACTCGCCTGCTAGAAGCAATGCTTCACAAAATATAGTCTCCATTTCTCAACTTTTCTTTGTTTCAAATCACTCAAGGAAGTGGGGCACAGTATAATAAATCCCCAGAGGGCAAGCATGGTGAGCCATGTGAGCGTGACCAAAGAAAGCTCAACTACCCATGTGGGAGGCACAAAGATCAAAAACAAGTCAGCTCTCCTGCTGCCCTTCTAGGAATACAGATTTGTGTCCCAGTCCTATCCTTGTACTGGTCACATAGAGGTGAAATTTATATTGATCTTGTCATGTAACTCTGCTTTTGATGACATAAAAGCATTAATTCTCAAAATGTCTTTCTTCAGCTGCATATAAATAAATGAATGAATAAATGGATGAATGGATAAATTAATAACTTTAATTGGTGGCAGGTTGTTGGTGAGAACTAGAACTGTCAGATTCCATATTTCATTATGTGAATACTGTCATGAGAATGAGAATCTCATTTGTTACCAAGTTTCCACCTCAGCACCACTAACGATGATGCTAAACACACACAGAGCAAAGGGGAGCAAGACAGCCTCTCGAACCAAGGGTCCACAGCTTTTCAGACACCCCCTGGTGATGTTATATCCCAAAAGCGACAAATCTAGAAACCACTCACAACCATGAAAACATTAAGCTGACAAATACATGCCTGATTTTGATTTGTATACCAGCCTGATTGAACACACATGGTAAATCCCTCCCTCCCCAAACAGAGCTGGACTCAAATGCAAATGACATCAACTGGTGACTTCTAGAAAAGTTTTGAGCAGCTGCTTTTCTTGGAAACACAGTCTCAGTCCCTCCATAGTGAACAAGCTTCCAGCTGTTTTCAGTTTATGTACCACTCAGTGGTCCAGTCAACTGGAGCCCAGAGCGAACCAGTCAGCGAAGAAAGAAGGGCTGCTCACAAGCTCTGTCACTCTTTCCTCTTGATTGCTGTAGCACCAGTGGCAATCAATAGATAAACCATACAAACTCTGATCCGAGGAATCATGTTCACATTATAGTTTGTGTAATATTGTGAATACAAATCAGTCAGTCTTTGATGTGGATGGAGTTAATTTCCAGTTAGGTGGTCTCGCTCTCCTTCAAATTTATATGTAAATAAACTTGTGTCATTCATATGCAAATATGCACATGACGTCAACTGGCTTTTCAAGCTGCCAATAGCTACTTACCTTGGAACAAAGCAAGCCATGCTGGTTGTGGGAAGACAAACTAATGCCTGAGTCTATAACCTGCCAATTTTTTTTTTTTTTTTTTTTACTTCAACCTGAATATTACTTGGATTACAGCACAATTACATTTATCCAGGGTAACCTACTTAGGGTATTATTTATGGAGGTTGAGGACAGAGGGAAAGAATCTATCCAGAATCTATTCAGTCCGAGCGGACCCTTCCTAGTTGACTAGTTTCTTTTTCTCTTTAATATACAGAACCTCCTAATATGTTTTATGTATTACTAAGTTTGACCAGAGTTCATGTTTTCTTGCAATCCAAAAAAAAGTTATTTTCAAAGTTTTGCACAAAACTGCATTTTGAGTATTATTTAAAGGTTATTATAGTTGTCCATTTTCTCCCTCCTCTTATCAATGACACAATGCTCATCAAAGGACTAACTTCATTACTTTTTTAATATTTTTTTTTTCTATATTCTGACAAGTTTTCAAAGTATTAAAATGTTTTCAAATATTCTTGTATAAGCAAGAATTATTTGTAAACTCTGCAGGCTCTTCTAACAGTACTGATGGAACATTTATCGAGCTACCTTCCTAGTCCGAATTAATAGTTTTTGAACACCAGGTACTTCTATTATACTGCAGCTCAATACCCTTTCAGCTACACACACTTGTTTATCCCTGGTTTTCTTTTTTGATTTCTCTCAGAGTAACTACGGGGCAGAGTGCAGGTCCAGCAGGGAGACTGATTTCTGTGGCAGCTGTTTGTCTACTCAAGGGGGTGATGGTGATGAAAAAAAGTCCCTTTATTAAGCCACTGACCATCTGCACTGCTACCATCTACTGAGATTGTGCCATTGTGGGCAAACAAATACTGTACAACATAAAACACAACCCTTTGATTAAACTAACTATGGAATGTGTACTTATTTGCTTGTGGCTGAAACAACTACACAAAGATCCAAGAAGAATGGTGATTCATTTCTAATGCATTTGCATTTAGGCAAAGAAAAAAAGAGTAATTTACTTGTGCTTCTTGTTGTGGCTTACGTTACATACATTAGTTTCATCACTGCAGACAGATTTAAAAGCATGCAATAAAATTGAACCTGAAATGACACAGAAGGGGCTTACAGTAATTTGAAAAATTAGTTTAGTCCATTAGTATGCCAAGCCTGTGGTAGCATACATATAAATTAATTTCACTGCAGAAGGACATTGAGGGCTAGAACACACTTAGATCTGCTTCAGATATAACAGGCACCTGAAAAGAGTCACACAGAAAACTGTGCTCCGCTCCTACCCCGAGGGCATCACACAGAAAATGAAAAGCCTATAAGAATTGATTCCCTGACGAAACTAGATCTGGCTGATGTGCTATGTATGGAATATATGTCTGCTGGAGATAGTAGTACTTACCTTCTCCCCATCGATTCCCTTTTGCCCTTCTGATCCAAGTTCCCCCTGCAATCACGAGATTGAAAGTTAAAAGGCAAAGAAAAGACCCTTGAAAAGTTCATACTTTTTTTTTTCACTTTTACACCCAATAGGTCTAAACAATTTGGCACAGTTCTTTTATACCACAATCCTGTTAAGTATTATTGGAATCAACCAGACTCTCTAAATTCTAAAGCAATATTATGGAAGAACATAGTCACTCTGAAAAGCTTATTTTCAGTGTTTCATAGACGGATACTAATAAGATACTAATAACATAAGCTAAAGAATACATTCACGAATAAATACTTCTACTAAATATTTGCATACATCTTGTATTTATATGAACTCACTTAAAGAATTACTTCATTATAGAGTTATGGTAGTTTCAAGAAAACCATTTTATTCTCATCAACATGCAAATTTAAGCACCGAGGGAATCCTTAATCTAATTACAATACTATACAGATGGACTGTGTTGGTATGATATTGCTATCATGTATTGCTCTTTAGTTATTGTGGTAGAAGAATGAGTCTACGCTGTACCACGTCCCACAGTGGCAGGACATTAAAAAGATATCCTTTCTAAATGCAACTATCTATGTAAATAAAACTGTGCTAAAGGGAACAGGAGCATCTAGAACTTTTTGTCTTGTCCTTAATGGCACAATAAAGTTAAATCCCAAACTCTAAAACTCACTAACAGCCCCTCCGAATTGAGCTTAGCTAGAAACTGCACACTTGCACCACAGTGACACAGATACAAAAACACACTTGGGAACCAGATACCAAATTCCCAGCAATATTGTTTGCTTAGTGAGCTCACAGCATCATTTCAGTCTCAGCAAAGTCTATAGCATGCGTAAGATTATATGTTGTCAGGGAATAAGCTGTTAGAGGCTTATTTCCACAAATATCTTCCTGATCACTGATTCTTCACAAGCTACCCAGCCCCTACTTTCCACACACTCTGCCAGAAATGTGTGAGATGTCTTGGAACTTGTTGGCTCTGTTATTAGAGTGTAACCTATACAGTTTCATGACCTCAGCTGGCCCATAAAGCAAACTGCCATATTATAGTGTCCAAGGGCAACCATATCATTACTCTTATGATATCGACAGCTGCATGGAATTGTTGTTCTCACAATATGACTACCAAAAGAGTCTGAAAATGTGTGTGTCTTAGGTTTTGTCCAAGGGCACCATATAAGCCACAACTGCCTTGTGCCATCTGTACAGAACATGTGTCCATACATCTATAAATTAAAAAAAATAAAAAGACTACTGTAATAATATTACAAACGACACACAACACATTGTGATTTGCACAGTAAACAGGTTTCATGAAACATCTCTGGAACATGAAAAGCTTTACTGACAGGGAATTAAGCTTAGATGTAAAATACTACAAGACATGGTACTGTGCATTAGCATCAACATCAATACTACTGGAACTGCTTTGATGTAGTCTTTTCTTGTGCACTGTTGTGTAACGAAAATGGCTTCAGCTGGTTCCTGAGCCTCATCTCAGATAGCAGAAGTGGAGAGAGCTGTGCCATGAACTGTTATTCCATATTCCATGTATCAAGGTTCTTCGGCAAAAATGTCACCCAGCTTAACATCTTCAGTGGGTAAAGGTCCAGGATTAAGCCATCTTCCACATCCAGTACAACTGATCACGTGACTGCAATGAAATATCTAGTGCATATGATTTTTTCTTGTTGTGTGTTTTCTTCATTTTTCTGAGAACAGAATCCCACACACTCTCTTAGCAAGACATGAAAGTACAACAGCCTGTAGTACTGGCATCACAGTAAGTGGTGGTTCCTGGTGACTGGAAACGCCCTCCTTCACTGAAGGAGTTTAACACAGGTATCCGAGATGCTACATTTTATGGTCTACAATCTTACTGATGACAATATCACAGAACGCAGTGAGCAAGAAACAAACAAGTGATCCCAGTAAAATGTAATTTTACTAAGAGGATGCAAACTCTGGCAATTTTCTCAGCTCTTCAGGACTGTAACAACAACAGTGAATTACAAAACAAGCACTTAGCCTTTCCTAAAGCTTCCGGTTAAAATAAATACATTTTTCTTCAAATTTAAATGTCCGACTCAATGTCTGTGACTCCTGACCCGGACTATCAGCCTGGGGAGGGCTTAGACAGTTACATATTCAAATACTCAACAAGTCATACAAGGATAGTTTTTCAACCGACAGCAAAGAGCTTCACAGAGAGGACATAGCTGAGACACAGAGGCTCACATTTAGATCTCAGCCCCCTATGTACAGACAGCCCAACCATCTAGTAGAAGTTGCTAGTGCAGTGACAAGGACACAATCCCTTACTGGCTTCCCAACTAGGAATCCTGCCAACTGTGTCCAATAGGGCGCCTGGCCAAACCAGAAGTGCCGCTGCTTGGGACAGAACTTGTGTCTCTGTAGCAGTACCATTTACCCTGCGCCAAGCAGGGGCCCACTTGCTGGTTTAATTTGATTTTGAGATTGCTTTGTTTTCTGTGTTGCTGTGACGGGGTCAACACAAAGCAAGCCAGTGATTTAATCCAATGATGTTAGAAAATCATCTCAGAGAGGGGCAGTGACAGATTCCATAAATCACTAAACAAAAAATGCCACCTGCTATTCACTGCATCTGAAAACCATGCAGTAAAAACAAACATCAATTTGAAACTATAACAAAATGTTTTAATGAAAAAACACAACCAAAGTTTCCAACTGTGTTCATGTCAATCACAGCTTTAAGGGCAAAGCAACAATAGGGAATTGTCTTTGAGGGAAGGTTTTTAAGTTGTTCCATCAGTGAGTGGCCTACCTTATGTCCTGGGTTTCCTGGAAGCCCGGCATCCCCTGTGTCGCCCTGTGATGGAAACAACACACAGAACAGTTAGTGAAAGGTCTCTCGTTCACACATTAGTGAATAGCTCTATCAAGGCTTGTCATTTCATCGGCGATCTTGCTCCTACAGCTGTTCCACGAGTTCTTGCTGACACTGTGGCTCAGCAGCTGCAGATTGGGATACTATTTCCTAACAACTGGAAAGCACAAATCTGAACCTTGTTAAGGTTCATTGTATTATTTTAATAATTGTAATATTTAAAAAAGAGGACAAGGCAAGAAAGGCAGAAAAGGCATTGTTTTTTATCTTAGGGGTATAACTTTACAGGGCAGTGTAGGACAAGTCCAAGACAGAATCAGATAGGAAAGGGAACAAATTGTCCACAAAAGAGAGAGAAGATGGAGGTAGATAGTTATTTAACAAATTAAGCTAGCACAGAACTGGCTGCAAGCTAAAAATCTAATTAAACAAGATGCCCATTGAACATCACATCTTCATTTCAAGCCCTGTTTGTTAGAACTCCTGTTTAGGAAGAAAAAAAGAAATGTGGCCAACCTAATAACTGAGATGCCATCACTATTCCACGGATTATGAACCCATTATTGTACTCATTATTCTAGACAACATACCAAGTCTACCTTTAATAAATACTTTGATCCGTAAAAATACAGTTTGTTAGTGAAGTGATAAATTAGCTAGATATTAAGCATGTGGCAAGATATAATACTTCCATGATCTCAGCAATCCCATGATTATTTCATTTGTATGAGACTATAGAAATTCACAGCTGCTGATGTCATTCATTAAGAACAGATAAACCTCCTATATAAATTGCATATGGGAATGTACGTATTTCACAGGGCTTTCAATTTAGCCATCCATTTAAACGTTCTATTCAACCACTGACACAAAACCCTTTTAAAAAAAATGAATAATATTTTAACGCTGATGAATATAATAGGAACAATGGAAGGTTTTGACAGCTAATCAAAATTCAGTGTCAGTGCAATAATAAACTGTCTTGAATTAAATTCCTGGAATTATTCCCTTTGGAGGTACAATGGGTATAAATTGAATTAGAGGGCACTAATTGAAAACACAAGCCATAAGGGCAGGAGAGTTGTAAATGGTACAAAACAAATTAAGGGTATTGAAGAAGTGTAGGAAGTTTTAATTTCAGCATTATGCTTATGTTTTTTCTTTTGCATGTACATGCAGGAGCTGTAAATCTAGTAATACCAGGGTTTATGTGCAAGGCCATAGAAAATGGATTTCCTTTCAAGTAAGCTGCATTCTTATAACCCAATCCTTATCTGTTTAATTTCCTGAGGGATTCTGGATTAATCATAGCAGTTTAATCCCTTTGCAGTGCATTAGAATCCTCCATCCAACTCAGACTGTAATGCGGGATAGTACTTTCTGTTGGAGTAACACAGCCAAAGTAATCCACACACACTTTCCCAAGAAACCCTCTGTGTAGGTCACGATGATTGGCCTGCAGTTCTCATTATGGGTGTTTTAAATGCTCTAAATTGCCCAGATGTCTTTGATTAATCTCTACAAAGTCAAGCTAAATTGTTAATAAGTATACTCGGAGTACCTTTTAATCTTATACAGATTGAGATTCTCATGTTGGTAATTGAAAGTCTCATGAGCTTACCTTATTAGCAGTATTTACTATGACTCTGTTACCCTTTTAATGTATTATAATGTAAATCTAAAAGAGCGCAACCCTGTTTAATAGTCACTGGAACTCCCTTGGAAATTTAGGGATCAATATGAATGAAATATGCTTTAACAGAAGTGCACCGCTACCACAATTTACCAGACAGATTAATGTGCAACAAGGTCAGAGTGAAGAAGAGAAAAGCAATTACTACACATGATTGTGTCAAAGCATGACGTTTCTGATATACTGCACAGATGGCTCAAAATAAACCACTTTCCTACTTGTTTTCTCTCAGTGGTAGGGGCACATGCACATTTGCAAATCCCACAAGATATGAGAAAAATTTTCACCCAGTGATCAGTTACATTTTGTTGTCTTCAAGTATCTGCTGCTTTCGCTCCCAATGATAATTCTGTTCCAGTTACAAAATTTCAGCTAATGTTAGTGGATGACATACATATGCTCTGCCTGCACTAGTAAATCAAATATACCTTAACCTTTTACTATGTTACCGTTTCTAGTTATTTATGGGTCAAATAAATTGTGTCATCAATAACTATTGCACCACAGTCTATCAAATACAGCAACTGTAGTTTGTGTGGATTCAAACTCTAAATCAGGTAAATTAAATTATCTCAAAGCACTCCTGTCAGTGTACTAATTGCTGAAGTGGCACTGGAGCTGCTGTGCCTGTTTAAGTATTGATTACACTCATCATCTAAACAAATGTCCCTGTGTCTGCAGATTTATTAGGTCAAGATTTAAACTACGATTACGTATGGTGTTTTTCCACACTGAGAATGTCTTCATCTCTCATGCTGCAATAACAGTTCATTACACTATGCACACATAAAGAGATGAAGGAGATAAACACAGGGAATTAGAAAGAAAACGAGGTTGAAATAAAGGAGGTGATGAACCTCTCAAGACCCGAGGTGGGAGGAACACATGGAGAGAAGTAGGTCAGAAATGTACACCATAATCACTTTAAAATAAAATGAACAGAATACATAATTCTTTATGTTTATTTCATCATTTAAGTAAAGAATGCCGCAGAAAAAGTAAGAGAATCTATGAAAATATATCTGATGTGTCTCAGGCAGAAATTATTCACAAATGAGGTTTCATTAAAGTTTTACATTACATTACATTTAGCCATGTTCGCCGACTTCCTTTCCTCACTCTCTGATGTATTTGACGTCTTTACGTGTAATAAAACTACGGATTTCTCCTGGTTTGAATGTTGTTGTGTTGCTGGAAACATTTGGGACAATGCAAGTACACAGCTCAACACAACATATAACATAACAGATCACATTTGCCTAATCATACTATTGACTAAAAGTGGAACAATGGGTCTATTATCATCATAAAAACAAAATTAACATAATGTTTTTCTGAGTAATAGTGGTGTGTTGTTGGCTGATTGTGCCAGTTTATCATGACCAAACTAGTGGGCTTAGACTTAAATGTGTGTGCCATGATCAAGATTTTCCTTAACTTCATTGATTTAGTGTTCAAGCCTGTAATAGGATTTGTTATGAATTTTGTTGTTCAGTAAGTAAACAAATGGTGCCAAGTATTGATTTGTTGAAGACCTGAAATTAGATTTCGAGTGTTAACAGTATGAGCCACTGACTCATAGCTTGAGACATGGCCTGCAAAGGAAAAAAAAAATGAAATGGCCTGTGCTCCTGAAAATCATGTTTAAATCACTGAGTATTGTCACATAACAGCTCAGTGATCTACTATTAAGTACACTCTGAGCATCCTTTTTTTGTACACAGGTGACCTTTGCCAATAAATGATGCAGTCTCTTTGGAAGAGTCAGAGGCTTCGGTTCAAAAGGAACTTGGGGAATATATACATATACATATATGCAAAAGAATGTGTCACAGTGCCTGCTATACATGCTGACTTTTGTCAAATGTAAAATTGCCTGATGCATTCTTACCGAGTGAATATACTCATATCAATTAGCAGCAAGTAATTAATCACCAGCACCACCAACACACTCAAAGTGCATATACACAGACACATTACAGCTTGAGAGCTGATCCCTGCTAGGTCAATTAAGAGTCATTAGAGTCCAATTATAACACGTTCACAAATACGATTAGTACAATCTGTTGCTATACACACAGTTTTGAGTATAATGATCTATACCTCTGACTGCAAAATGCATGAAAGTGGGTTCCCACATAGCCCATTTAATATAAAAAAAAGATCTACACCTGTTCTAAGAAGGCAGAGTTGTCACCTAAATGAAAATGATAAAAAAAACCATAAAAAACAAACAATTAAATAGAAATAACAACTATAGAGCTTTAATGTTTCAAATGTTAAAACATATACATATATGTATATATAATAGCTCTCTAGTCACAAAATGACAGATGCTCATTATTCTCAATTTTCCACTGACACTGTAATAATTGCCTGGTAATATGGCAGCTAAATGTAAAACTGAATTGCTTTCTTAATAATCTAGAAATGCATGTCATTTATGATTAATTTCACGCAAAAGCGGCAACAAGGAACTTTCATATTTTGTTGGTTCTAGCGGCCCCTGTGGACAAAAGCAGTAGTGTTTCTACAAAATCCGAGCTGGTGGCAGGCACAAATAACTATTTAGAAATAGCCAATCTTCTTGCTGATGTTTTTTTTTTGTTCATGTAGGTTACATAGATGCATCAGTATTAAATTAAGACTGTTTCATAACCAGTTGAAAATGCCTTATAGTAGGTTTAAGACAGAACAGCAACCTAACATGTCAAGCCAATCTTAAGTATCCAGAACAACGGTGTCTGTCTGGTGCTGTTTACAGAATAAACAGCGTTAAACACTATGTCACAATTCACTATGTAGGGAGCCCAAAAAATACCCCAATGTCATATTCCAAAGCTGGGCTCTATGGGTATAATGATTTAAACACTTATATGTATGTCGCTTTTGTGCCTTCCAGAAATGAGACAAAAGTCAAATAGTCATCCAGCATATCTTAATCCCACAGCCACATCATGGTAATTCAACTCAACACCCACAATTTTAAGTGACTGAGCATTTTTTACAGTCTCAATCTGTCTATTGAGCTGTCATGGAGAAAGGATTCTTCCCTCATAAAACTACCAATTTTTGTAGTGATTGCACAAATGTATGATAACCTAATTCACACACCTTGGGAGGTTTGAGAGAAAATTCACCTTGTGATGGTAATTGTATGGCAGAATCTCTAAAGGGCCTTGACCACTGAACATGAAACTCTGTCAGACATTACAGCACAGGCTTTTCCTTGCTGAGAGAGAGATGTATTAATCTTTATCCGAAAATGACTTTAAGACAAAGTATACATTTGTAAATTGTCCTGGAAAACCAGCTGTACTGGACACTGATAAAACCCATGGAAGCAGTTGAGTTTCATTTGCGAACAAAAGTATGGTTATTTACAGCAAGGGGCAAAGAACAAATACTCTCTATGATTAAATCAATGTTTCTGCATTATGTATGACTCACAGTGAATTGTGGCTGTTGAATGTGTTGCTGCCCACTTACCTAAGTCTAGATTGCAGTGAAAATATTGCATCTCTAACATTCACTTAACCCCTGCATGCTTCTTTTTAAATAAAAACCAAGAACAAACAAGTGCATATATCAACATCATAAAACTAGTGTTCCTACCTTGTCTCCTTTATTCCCCTTTTCTCCTGGCAGTGCAACTACACCTGGAAGATCAGCATCTCCCTGTGCACACAGTATTCATTAGTAGGATTAAAATATTTCTTGTAATCAAAGAGAAAATGTGGCTATTGCTATTGGATCTATCTTTTTCACACATATGCGTGCCATAAACAAAAATCCTGGACATTTATGACACTTCTGTCTCCACAAAGAAGCAGATGTATATGAGTCACCCTCTTGGTCTGGGTATTATGATTTCTGAATGAAGAACCCAAAAAGTAAGTGAAACTAACCATTAATCAGCAAAGCAATGTAGCATTTACAGAGTCAAAGTGTTTCTTGAAAATGTAGATTATTTTAGCCTATACTAATATCTAAAATGTATTTCTATTGATAGAAATACCTGACATGTCTGCATAGTAGCAACACTGTGTTCTAATCTATGACCCCCAAATCCTGATTTCACTCGTTCTCAGGCTATGAAAAGTTGATTATGTTTGCAACATACAAGGAAAATTTAAAAAACATAAAAGGCTGGGTGTGGAATTGGACATCACCTTGGAGCTGTACCATCTGCTCCCTTCAAAGAGAGCTTCAAGCTTTCAGGTCTCAATTTGCATCTCAATCTAACATTAATATTGCATCTGGAAGAAACCCTTTGCATTTTCACAAATTTATAGCAGAGTGCAGATATACCATGCTTCAACAGTCTGGGAGAATTATACCTGTGTTTACTAATATATTATAGCTATACTGCCTTTGGTTGACATCCAAAGAATATATTTTTTGGTATAAATGTTGTTTAAAAGGCTGTTTAGTGCCTATAAAGGATTGAGAGGATGCCGTGTAAATCTCTGTTGGTTCAGTTACAATAGCCATTACACTTACTCAATTAGAGGCCCTTGTTGGGGGGAATTGATTGTACCTTTTCAGCTGGACACTGACATCTGTCAATTGACTGCGAGGCTGGCTGGGACAGCATCTGGGGGAGCTGGGCTGTAACCAGGGGAGGGGAAGTCCCATTAAATGTCTTCTTGGCTCCACACTGGATCAATACAGAAATTCACCATTTAGAAAACATTTTTGTCATGTTTGCTACATGCCAAAAAAACAACAACTTCCAAATCCATTGTAATGCAACACACTTAATCTGAGGTAACCTGGCATATATTTATGCGATATTTGGAATTAAGAAATATAAAATGCATATTGTACAGTGAAACAAAGAAAACACTAAGCAGACTAATAGTGATAAGTCCTTCTCAAGGTTGTGTCAATTCCCAAGGAGTAACTTTACACTGACATGACAGCATGCTTATGGATAAATGAAATGGTCAGGGGTCAGAGGTCATCTCCCCATTCGGAATCACTGTAACATTAGCTCTCATTGATTCTATGGTGATGGAAGATCTCTGTTATTATATTTCTATCTGGGGACGCATACCCTTATGACAAAAGAGACAAAAACCTTGTTACACTTTCATTGTCTGATCACACTGCATAGGTTAGAATAAACCAGTACAGGCTGTTACTGCAGAACACATTTGGTGGATGTACTTAAATTGATGACCTACTGAACACTGTACATTTAAAAAAAGTGCAACATTTTGAGGACAAACATATATTGTATCTTCTTATGTATTTCTTTAGTGGTGAAATGCATTAAGGACAGAAGTGAGTCATTCTTACTATTCAAATTTCTACTATTCATTACTTGCTGTCACTTTATTAACAGAGGGTGTTATTAGTGTGGTAAAACATCATGACACTTTACCTTGGGCTCCAGTAGCTCACAGCAATTTTCCATTTCAGCCATATAAGGGTCACAGTAGATTAGAATTTGTCTCATTTCAATCTGTGGAAAACAGCTTTCATTAAGGGACCATTATAGCATCATACAAGAGTTCGTCATCACATCATGCTCCTCTGTGAACTGGCAAAGTTCTGCTCTTCACTGGTTAAGACAGTACAGTTTGTTCAACTGTCAACTGTTCTCGCTTGAACATTGCCATTCCCGCTGCAAAACAGGTCAAAAACATCACATCTAAATTCAAGAAAAGGCTTCAACCTTTGCATGAGTAGCAGCTGCTTCAGAGCAGAACATGAACCCTAGTATTTTTTTTGGATTTACTGACTTACTTTCTTTACAAATTACGTGGACTAAAAAGTCAGCTGTTAATGCTACTTAAGCCAAGTTCTACTCAGAGGCATCGGGTAACCAAATGGCATAGCTGACCTAATGTTTGTTTAACACCCTAGCACAGGGGAAACTCTCAGAATGAGCATAGCACATGACACAATAGAGGATTTACACCGATTATGGAAATATGCCACTGAAACATGTTTTTGAAAGTATAGAGAGTACATTTCCAAAATTTCCGTAAAGATAGTACAGTATTGATCAAAACTGGAGATGAGTAGCAAAACAATTGCACCATAACTGGTAAATGCTTGAACACAAAATAATATGTTTGCGTGGGACATACATCTACAGGCCGTCCGTCCTCCACTCGTGTAGTGATGAGGGTGCGCCCACTGGGGTCAATGCTGGCCTTCTCGTCAGTCTGTCTCTTTTCTATCAACTTGCAGTCCATGTAAATGGAGACTATGTTGCTCTGTACAGAAATGCCCAGCTTGTGCCACTGGCGATCAAAGAGGGCATGTAGGTCACGGCTCTTAAATGTGTAGCGGCGAGTGTTCTTTAGCAGGTCCTGGGAAGAAAACTCCACCGCCTTTTTGCCACCATCAACCACAACAGATACCTGAGGAGAGTTTAAAAACAGCATTCCTTTCCATCCCATCATATCCAAGCATATTTGTAGATACTGAAACTGATATGTGACATTAAAACATATAGCGGGACCCACCTGACTGCCTCCCGACTCGTCGAATATCTGCCAAAGATACCAGCGGTCCTTTTTTGTAGTTCTTCTTACCCGGAAGATGGTGACAAGGGAGTATTCACTTGAAAGCCCATTTGGAAATATTAACCTAAACAAAAACATCATATAAGACAGATTCTCACAGATTATGAATATCAAATCTATCATTCAAAAATATACAATAAATATGAAAGATAATTTAGTCAAATGTCATTTCTCAATACTGAATGTATAGCTTTCAGTGGCTGAACAATGAACCAGTCAATCAGCTTCAATGATCAATAAAACATTTCAATATCTTCTTACTGCAGCCTGAGTAACTCACATAAATAAACCTGACAAACTTGATTCCATTTAGCTTGATTAACTTTATCCTGGCTTCCCTGTCATTCAGATAATGAAAAACATATAGAAATGGATCCAAAGCCACAGAAGCCAATCTTTTACCTCACCACTGACCATGTGCTACAGTTATAGCTGCCTAGTGCAATGCAGCTACAGGTTTATGCGTATGACCTCAGCTGCTCTGTAAAGTCAAATAACAATTCTGTGTTCACAGCTGAAAATGTGTTCCAGCAGAAGCAAAATATGCAATGAAAATAGGGAATATATAGGAAAAACAATATCATATTTCAAATCACCCCCACTCTCATATGAATTACAGCTTATTCAGTAACTCATCTCTCAGCCCACACCCCCACTACCTCCCTAATTTTATACATTGCGTAAAAAGAACAGCAAAACATTGTACCCTTCAAAATGCACTAACCCTAGCCCTAACTCCAGACTCAGATTAACAGTCAAAAGTGGAAGAGCATAAACATAATAAATCAAGATCAGAAAAAATAATAATAATGCAATGATAAGGTCATTGAGAAGGCAGAGCACAGCCTGGGGAGGGAGAGAGAGAGTTTCCTCAGACAGGTTGGAAATTAGTTTTCACTCCAATATATCATCTCCCATTCTCTCTGAGCTTCATACCCTCTTCTATTGTGTCCCTTGAATTCTTTGAGATTTTGGTGTAAACGGTACATGACTAAAATGATAAATACACCAAGTTAAAGCTCTCAAAAAATCAAATGCTTCTTTGAGAGGCCAAGGACTGGGAAGGTTATTTGTTGCCCAAGGGCTAAAGGACTATTTCAGCTGCAAATCAATATAAAAAGTGGCAGGGCAATTTATAAAAAAAAAAAAAAAAAAAAAAAAAAGTGGATTTATGAAATAAATTCAACACAGAATACTTCCATGCTGCACATACAGTAACTGTTTTACGCATTATTGTAAGAGGCAGGGGATAACATAAAAGAAAAATGTAAAAAGGGACTCCAAGAGTGTACGCACTACACTGCAATGGAACATAATACATTTAAGCAGGTTTAATATAACTGGGATACTCTGCAGAGTACAGTGCGAGGCCCTGGAGTTCACACCCTTCTTTGCAAAGTCTCCCACTAAGTCTGCTCTTATTTCAAAACATGGTCCGTCTACAGTGCGGCACCCTTGATCTCTGAGCGCCCAGAGGGTTAAAGTTCTTGACCTTGTGGTGACTGCCATCTGTGGCTAAATAGCTGAATGTTGGTTTGAACACTGTTTTTATGATTCTTTGGAAAAACGCTGCTCAGCATGTTTAAGTAAGTGATAATGAGTGAATGAGAAGGACCTGCTTTCATTTTCCCTGCTCCCATGCTACAATACCAAAACAAGTTTTACAATATGTCACTCTGCCAACTATGTCTGTTGCAAGTACAATAAACTACCTGGCATTGGCAAATGTGTTCGGAAAGAAACATGACTGCCTCCTGGATCACATTCAATGTCAATGTTTTGGTCCAATATAGTTCATATATGTATCCAGTTGTATACTACGGGGTTGGATTCTACATTGTGAATCATTTTTGTCAACTGGTGTTGTTTTTAAATGCGCTTTATCAGTAAATTTGGCTTGTATTGAAGTAGCGGGGCATGTTGCCAAATTACTTAAACAACCACAGTAAGCAGAAAAGGAAGAGAGAAAAAACAATTTTAGGGAAGAGTTACTTGTAGCATTTGTACTGTATATTGTAAAAGAGTGCCCATCCATAACAATAATCAGGAGAAGCACCACAGAGCACAGAGCAGCACCCTGGCTGCCACAAGAGTCATAATGAGAGCTGATTCCATTTTTATAAGAAACAAATGTGCTTTCTGGAAACTATCACCACTCTTGGAACATCTCTTTGACCATGCATATTGCTTGGCTGACACTACCCCTTGTATAATCAGAGACAATGGTTTGACAGAATGTCACAGCAACACTACCGGCCTGGTAGAGAATCTCCCGGAAGCGGATTTAGTGTCCTGGCTTGTAAGAAATCCTATCCAGGAGGATTCTTTTAAATGAGTCGGAGGAATCAGATTGCTGTAGCTGAAACAATCAAACCTCAAATGTTAGCCTAGTTGGCTCACATCCCTATCACTGACACTCAGTCCTCCAGCAGATCAAAGTGGGCTCAACCATGTCAGTTTATACGCTAAATGCATCATTCATGCTAGCAAGGGCTGTAACTTCCTATCAGCGTGAGTCCCCTTTCCTGTTTAAATGTGGAAGTGCTGTGCTGTCACTGATCAAGCCGAATCGAATGCACGCCTGTGATCTGGGAGAAGGATATTTTCTACAACTGAATGTGCATGTGTGTAGATGTGTAAAACTGCAATGTTATCATCATTGCAGTGTAAATACGTGTTCCTCTGCACACATACTTAATCGAGAGATAACACTGCAACAGAGACCAACAAACATTTTCAGAAATGTCTGATCTGCCACCATGACTACATGCCATAAAATTAATTTAGAGTCATTTGTTACCTCCGACCAACATGGAATTGTTGATTACAATTACTGCTACAATATGACTATTAAACAAGCTGTCATGTCAGCAGCCTCAACTGTTTTTATTTTGCTCAGATTGCCTCTCTGTGCCAGACCCCAGCCACTTCTCACTTTCCCCATGCCCATGTAGTCAATGCTGGTTTGTGCCTTTCTTTGCCAGCCACTTCAACTTCAGCTGTTAATCTATGGATTATTGGCTATGTCTGTTTAAACTAGCTGCCTTTGCCTGTAAGCATCTGTATCATCATTTTACCATAAAATCACTGAACTGTTCCTGCCTGCCTGGTCGTCTACATTTAGGTCATTTTCCTCGCTTCCTCTTACACACCCTTACACATCCTCTTACACAACCCATGACACAAGTTACAATCCCTGGATGTGGATATGCACATTTAGTGCAGGTAAGTTAAAGGCCTTCACACTGCTGGCGTGTGTGAAACCACTGGCTAAAAGGCTATAGAAAAAAAAATATTTTCCAGAAATAATTCAGATGCTTATGACTTTCAAAAAAAGAGTGAGTCAGCTTTACAGTATTGATTACAGTAAGCCCACATGATTAATTAACTGACACGACAGTCTCAAACCACTGAAGCCACAGATTGATAAACAAACACAAACCCTGGGGATTTCATTCACTATATCTCAGTCTCAATGGCTCCTTTGTATCTACTTTTCAAATGTAGTGTATCTTCGGCATCTACACATAATATGAAAATAGCTTACTGTATGCCATTTAGCATTTAACCTTGTCACAAGTTGCTTTGCTGATCGTTAGCATTCCAATAAACCACAATATGAGACATTGTGGTCATATTCAAAGGAAGTGTTCCTTCCATTCCCATTTCAGAAAAATATGCAAAATTTGTATTTGCTTTGTCTCAGTCTTTAAGAGAAGAAAAGAACAAATAGGCATGAAAATTTCTGAGAAAGGTACAGCTAACAAAACGCACAAATAGGTCTTAATATGAATAAAGGGCCATCCACGCCAAGAACAATAACTATAACTATATCTTTTTAAAAACTATTCTAACTCAAGCTGACAGCGATGATGATTGATGAATGATATTTTGGTATACAACTCATTAAACTCTTATATAACATAATGTTAGGCAGCAAATTACACATAAAACTTTATTTTACCTGAGACATACTGCCAAATGGTCTTTAGCACTGACAGGGTCTCTGGAGCCCTAAATGATGCCCTCTTTTCTTTTTTTTAAAAACCAAAGTATGAATATAATTTCTCCTAACTCCACTTCCCCAACTTTGAAGAACTCTGTGAACCCCTATCCCTCTGGTTTTCTCTTTGTGCCTCTGCACAACGTACAGCTAACAGGTCATCAATATACATTTTCTGAAGCTGCCAACACAGCTGGAGCACACAGCATGATGTGGCCGCTGTCTACACAACACAATCTTTCATCAGTGTAGATCCTCACACGTTCTCGGTATTGTTATAGTTATTTTTCTAACTTTATACTTGTGTATGTTTTGTCTTGCAAAACAAGGATTGTAATGTAAAAACCATGCCTTCATTGCAAATGGCAAGTAAATGAAATTAAACCACTTATTGATCTTCTTTTGCTTAACCGTTAAATAATTCAAATGTGTAGTGTAGATTCTAATGCTCTAATTATATGAATGAGATATAAATATGAGACAGAAGGTGATATAAGATGTAAAAGCCAAACACAGATATGCATCTAAAGACAGACAGCAACTACTACACTGTGCTTTAATACTGTATGGAAGAATGTTATGACTACACGTTGCATTTTGTAGGGCAATTTGTCACCTCACGCAAATGTTCCTTGAGTGTGTCAGCTCCAATTTATGTACCATAATGTGTATTGTGCAGAGGAGCTGGCAGAACATTAGCCAGATCTAGAGAGTCGAGCATCTATTGCTGCATACCCTGCGAGTAAAGTGAGCAATGTTTTAGTGGCTGTGGCAGGGGTAGAGGGGCCTCCTGCTTCGTGCAATTGCCCTAGCTTTCCCTCCTCAGCTGACATGCAGTATCACCTGTCAAAGTACTTAGATAATTGGATATGAGAGGGATCGCGGTCTCGCCACTATAACCAATGACACTGTCAGCAGTGTCATTGAGAGCCAGCATCTTCTTGCACTATGGGCCCAGACTGAGGGAAGGGCTGAGGTAAATGTATTTTCAGCTGGCTGACTGAACAGGGAGGGAGATCACAAATCACCTGGCTCAAAGATCCTTGCACCTAGCCAGAGAGAGAGTGGCAGTAAATGTTTACAGTTTCATGTCATGTAAAAATGCTAAAAATATCCTCCCCTCCCGAAAGAATGACAAAGTGTTCTCTTTCACTGTTACAACCTGAGGACACAAAGCAATGAACATCTCAAAATACATTTTTTAAAATCCAAACCTTCATTTGTAAAGATACGTTTGGCAACCATAGCAGCAGGTTCATGTGTGCCACTGGTCTTTCTTGATTCATGTGAAAGCGCAACAGGCATTTATAAATAATATATGAAATTCAAATCCCCACTATCATATCAGCATCAAGGTGAAGTCAGAGTGGTCCCACCGGTTGACCAGGGGAATAAAGGTCTTCAGTAAATGGCACCTTAGTGTGTCATTTATGTAGTTATTTTAATATTCCTGTCTTATTATACGTGCTCAGACTTTTTTTCCCTTCCTTTATGTCCCACTTTTTGCCCTTAGGAGATTTCTAGAATAAATGCAATATATATTAATTCTGTTCAAATTATTCCCTGTCTAACAGCTCACCTCACAGCTTGCCCTTATTAGCCAAGGCAAATGGAACTATTGCTCTGAGCAGGGTATATCTGGGTTGCCTCAAGTCAACCCTTTCATGAAATGCAGCTATGGCTACACTGTTTGTTTTCTTCTTAGAATAGATGTGAAGGAAAGCAAGCTTCTCTGCACAAGACAGATCTATAATAGCAGCAATATTTTAGCTGTTTTTACAGTATCGTGCTGTGTTGCAATATTTGAGTTTAATTTGAGTAAAAAATTAACTCCATATTCAGGACCTGTACACGGGGGAGCGAAGTAGTAATAGCCTCTGTGTTAATCCAAATGAACACTGCAGTTTAATACTGTTGATAGCCTTGGCCACACATGAGCGACTGCATCTTACAGCAAGCTTGCATTGTGCTACAGTTCCATAGCACGAGCAAGCAGAGTTGTAGAAATGAAGCAGCATATATAGGGAGATTATTTACTGGGTCACGGCTGAGATGCAGACTGTCTGTCTGAGTTATCCTCAAATGTCACAAGGACCCAGAGTACAACAGCTGAACCCAAACAATGCAGGAAATAAACACACATGCAAGCTAACACACCACTACATTACTCACTTTGTCGGCTTAATGAGCGGACTGCTTCCTAAACGAAACGACGGAAGGTCTTCTGTTACCGTTCCCTTTCGAAGGAGAAACATTTCTGTGAGATCCAATCCTGTGAATGGGATCATAGAGTGTCACTAGATTTAAACAAGACAATGTTCTTATTTACAAAGTAATTGTGTCCATTCATAACATACCTGTAATTTCCAGGGGACGATCTAAAATATCAGAGAACCTGTATTCCTCTACAGTCAGAGGGGGACATGAGCCATCTAGAGGAAAGTCACAAAGAAGTTTAGTGTGCTGGTTACAGAAGTCAATTTATATTTTGAACCAATTTTGTCTAGTATTACAGAAAAGCAAATGATAAATTGAGTCATGAATTTATTTCCACAGTGCATTCCCTTTCCCTTTTTCAAAACAACACTTCTTTTAGAGAAATCCACAAAAATCAATTCACAGCTTTTTTCCATTAATCTTTTAAACTTTTAAACTTTAAAAAACAAAAAATTGCAGATGGAGACAAGACTCTGAGATGTAATTTAGAAGCAAGGCTCAGTCTGCTTTACTAAAAAATTAAATGAAGAGTGACTTTATGAATACTGATAGCCCCACCATATTCTTTACAAGTCCCACTCTCTGTCTTTTTCAAACATGACGTTGATTGATAAAGTCGATTCCCCAGATAATGGAATCACAAATGGTGGTTTACCACTGTGCACAAATCATGGACCATAAATGTTTTGTAAAATATTCAAAGTATTTTTTTGTAAATCATAAACCTGTGGAGGGTTAAAAAAAAGTGAGCTTAACAGAGTTTTTTAATATGTACATGTGGATTTGGGCACACCTGTCTTTCTATCTTCCGTATGTGCACCTGTCTGTCTATCTGTTCTTTACCTCCACAATGAGACTTAATTCATCTTACAGATAAAACGTATCCATTTTATGTAGAGACCAGAACATTTAAGAGAGAGAATGGCACTCTGCTGTTGAAAGACATCAGTTGTTGGACAAAAGATTGAGGACAACAAACACACGTACCTGTTCGTTCACTCACTGCCATCCCAAAAGTGCAAGGAATGGAATTTACAGTCCAAAGGAAAGCTGTCCATCTTAACAAGCTAATCATGGCTCTGACACTAGAGAGCTGTCCGCTTGAAAATCTGGATGTAAACACAACAGTTAAGGTTAATCATAGCATTTTGTTAAATGAAATAATGAATGAAACACATGCCTTACACCAATCTTAATTAAATACTTTTCTGCATCCAAGTGCCAACAGAAGCAGAACTAACAGACATAACTTTACATCAGGCACAAGCAAACAATGCTGACGTGTGATTGCTAAGCAAACCGAGACAGATAAAAGGTTTCACTCCTTTGCATCTGGCTGCAATCATATTTCAGTGTTCTATCAACTGTCTTCAAACCCCGTCTTTTCATGGTTTTAATCAGCCACTAAATAAGATTATGTGCAAGTTGTATTATTGTTAAATTAAATTTTAACTGTAAATCATATCCGACTCTCCCTTATGCCTACTCTCATGCTCACTCACATGTCCCTAAAGCCTCTTTGCGTATTTATGTAAAGTCCTTCAACCAGGAGAAAGCACTTCTGAGTCCTTCATTCATTAGTTTTCATGAACACCTGCCATGCAGTGATGAATGAAGATGTCTATACCGCTGCTAAATCATTATACTCTAAGCCATGTTTATGTTAAGGTTTCAGTTGTTAACTAGTGAGCCAAGCTGCCTCTTGTTCTCCATAGACAGTTTGTAATTCATTATGTCTTATGTCATCAGCAGAAATTAGCAGTGGAACTGTGCCGACGCACTTAATCTGTTCAGAATACAATCTACAACAAGATAATGACAACACAACAGGGAGGTATTACTGTGTCTGACGGTGATCTAAATGCAGGATGTTGCATGTTAAAAAAGATACAAGTTAGCAAGGTTAATCTGTCTTCATTGTTATTTTACCCTCTCTGCAATGTGATCATCCCATCACCAGGTGTTAAGTCTACTGTACTCTCCTCCCAAAATGAATAATCCAAATGAAGTTTACACTGTGTGTTGCAGAGTACTTGTATGAGAGGTAAAATACATTTACAATTGGCTCCTCCCGTACTAGCTTGTCTGGTTAGTGCCAAAGCCTTGATCTTTGTTTCGGTACTACTCTATTAACACTCTGTTGTGTTTTGATCTGTAAACTGTCAGCGGTGTCTTGGTCAAGAACGCCACATACAAGGATCAAACCTGGAACCCTCCAGTTACAAGTCTCTCGAACCATTTGACTTTGGTGCCAAACCAAATCTTCGGCATTACTCTCATACCAGTGCAAAGACGGCGAGAATTTTTTTAGGGTAGAGTCATCCTGGATAGTAAGAGTCTGTTCCAAAGTAGAGTCTGTAATTTATTTTAACTGACTATTCCAACTCAAACAAAACACTAACTTTTGGATTACTTACGCAGAGTTGGTGCTGTGCCAGAATACTGATGATGCACTCAAAAAGAAAAAAAAGGGGCTGTTTTTAAAAGGAAGACTAAACTGAATAGAAGCATACAAACAGGTTAATGTGTGACACTGAATAAATAAATACAAAATCAATTTGGTTTAGTAAAATTTTTCTTAAAACAAAAACACAGGTCAGATTTGTTTGTTAATTAATCCTACAAACATGCCTTTTTCCAGTATCTGCAATGTAGTGTTGTGACAACACAGCCATAATCCAGTTAAAAGCTATAATCCTTCCTTCCTCCTGCACATTTATCTATTTTCACTGGTGAAGAAATGGCTGAGTAATGAACTTGACCTCCAGGGACCATCATACACCCACAACACATTAAGTTAATTTATATGCACACTCTCACAAACTGTGACCAATAGTATTTTTTCATGATACTCTCCTTCTTAAATTGCTGCTGTCTTATCCAAATTAATTTCCCCCCAGTGATTAATCCCCATACACTTGTGCCTTCCTCTCCCACTGGATCATAAAGTTTTGCATGCAGGCCTACAGTACGCTATCATGGCGCTTGGAGATGAAGTGACCATGCCACTTACAACTACAACCATGCATGGGCCGTAGACAAGAAGCACTACAGAGGTATCACATTCCCTGTCTGTGTGAAGAAGGCGTAATGTTATTCCAGCCATTTCTGCAAAATACATGCAACACATGCTCTTAAAGCCTGCAGTCAGTTAGTCTGTATCTTTACATGACTGATTCTGATTATTGAGGAGTCTGTAGGAGTTAAAGACCACACGTTGTTTTACCTCATGCAGTTTTGGTGTACAGCAACGCTGCTGCACCATCTGCTGTGGATTTCAATCCTAAATTGACTGTCTATATATTTCTGTAGGTTATTATCACACATATCTCACAGTTTTGGAGAAGAAGGCGCAACGCTAAAACCCCCCTTGACAGTGAAGTTTCTCTGTCAGGTCCCTTCATCATTCATTCACTGGCAATAACTTCACTGTAACACTTTGCAATATTCAAAGAAGCGTGTTTCTGTGCGCGACCGCTGATTGGCTGGGTGGCTTTATTTTTTGATAATTACGGGACGAAGCGGTTGATATTCTTTCGGTGTCCGGCACATTTCGCACTTTGCTGTTAACAAGTGATGCAATACGGTGGATGTTTACTGCTGCAGAGCGTTCATAAATCAGAAATAACCTGTTCATAAGGCATGCGCGCCCCGGTTAACAGACAAGTTAGAAAAGAACAAACCATGCCTGGGAAATAAAAACCCTGCAAAATATGTCCGTTATAAAGAGCTTTTCAGTATATTCACACGCTGATATTTACATTAAGCGGATTTTTTTTTTTTTTTTTTATTTACTGTGAATCAAATGTTGTCTTTAAGTACTTACAGTTGCTGAGAAAGTTTCCTCTAACGCAAAAAGAAATAAAAAACAGCGAAAAAAGAAGCATAATCCATGTGTGATAACGATCAGTCTTGATTCCGGATTCCAGGACTTGGAAATAAAAGTCACAGTGGGATCGCCTGCTAGATCGCGGTCCTTATTAGTTGCACCGAGTGGCCCTCCCACTCTGTCTTTATTACTGAAAGGCACTGACAGAGACTTCAGCAAACAAGAGCAACACTCATCGAAAGCTTTCCCATTAGGGGGAAATAAATGCCCAACGGGAGCTCAAACAAACTCTCTTTAACTGAGCCAGGTGCGGGAATTAAAAAGCCGTTTGATGTATTATCATCTTATCAAAATTTACTGAACACAAGGCCTAATTCGTATGGATTTGCCCTCCCTTTAAGGTGGCTCCATGTGTGTTATTAGCAGAAAGTCAAGTTTAAAAGTAAATATCGGAGTAATACAATAAGTGTTAACACATAATTCATCTTGATACGAGTCAGAAAGAAAAAAGCAAGTCCGAGCTGTCATACATCACTTAATACCCGGCAAAACAGACATTAGACATGTATTATGAGCAGAGCAGTCTATAGATGATCCCACATAATAAAGGCAGCTCTCAGCTGTAAAGGCTACAGAAACGTCTGTGGTGACTGGGCTTTAAATGCAGGTTTAATCTGTTAATATTCGTGTAGCAGTAGTGGAGTGAAGTTTCATGGTCATTTACTTAATAAAAAAAATGCTAATACACACTGTAGAAATATTCTTTTACAAGTAAAAGTCCTGCAAAATGTTACCTGAGTAACATTATGTAAGTATAATCAGGAAAAATGTACTTAAAGCATTAAAATAAGTACTGTTCTGCTATTATATAATTAGATTATGATGCTTGCATTAATATAGAAGCAGGATTTTACTGTAATTGGTTCAGGTGGAGCTAATTTTGAACTATTTAGATCCGTATTTATGCATTTTCATATGTTTTGTGTTAAAAAAAAAAGAACTAGGAACTAAAGTTGTCAAATAATTATAGCGATTTCAAAGGTACAATATTTCCCTCTGAGGTGTTGTGAGGTAAAAGTAAGCATGAGAAGAAAACGATCAAGTACAGATACCTCAAATTTGCTTTTAAACAGAGTACTGGAGTAAATGTACATAGTTCAGTTTCACCACTGCAGTGTGCTGTTCATTCATCCATTACCCAAAACCCACTGAGGATCCACTGCTCATGCTGAAAATGTGTCTGGGCAGAGTTTCTATCCATGTTGTTGTATTAAAGTTGAATGTTAAAGCCCAGGTACTTTGTCTCCTGAAGTTTTTGTTGAAACAGCACACCAACAGTTCAAGACAGAAACGCAGAAACAGGTGTTCAGCCTCCACACACATAACTGTTTAGACAGATGATTTCAATGCACCCTCCCCTTCACCACAGGGACACACATACACACACAGAGAGACATGCTTTTCTGTAGTGTGATGAAAGAAACAAAGAGTAAACGGTTTTAAGATAAAATGAAGCAGATGGCTATGTTTCTTTGTTGGACATTATGCAAACATAACCATTGGTACTTTTGAGTAGCGCCATTATTCTTCAGTCTTTCTGTAACTCTTTGTTTTTTGTTCTTAGTGAAGAGTGAATTATTTTAATCAGTAGCAGCTGATTAATTACTGACTTTCTTACAGCCCACATAGGGAAATGACTATCTTCACTGGATTTTGCTCTTACTGGAATTCAGTCATTTCATTTTAAAAAGTCTGGTATATTCATACCCACAGTATGGGCTTTTGTTTTACTAGCAGTTCAGGGGTGTCTGTTTTGACTAAGAATGGATTAATAACAAGGTTGTGCACAAGCATTTAGAGGGATAGTTTTTTCCATTCAACAAAAAAGGACACCCTGTCCATCTGCAATTAGATTATTTTACATCGAATAAAGTATTTCTTTAACCTGACATCCACGGAGGGAATTCCAGCTTCTTTTCAAGATGGAATCCATTGGTTCTATACAAAATACTAGGAATGGTTCACTGTGAGGTCTGTGTATGGTTAATTCTATAAAGAAACAATGTCCCGGTTTTCTTCACCTCTGTTGTATTGGGGTGGAAGCAGAAGTCTCCGCTGTGGATAACTCCAAACCCTTGCAAATAAGAAAGAAACTCTGAATGGCTTAGCACCTACTAAGAAAAACACACTTTTTTTCATTTGAGTGAACTGACCCTTTAAGGTCAGGGCGAGATTGGGGCCATGATGAAATAATGAAAATGGTATGGTGGCTAGGTGGCCCAGCAGGCTACGTCGTGTACCATTTAACAGAAACTTCACATATGCCCTTAAAAGCGTTTACATTAGTGTGCATTTAAGGTCTGTGTTTTTCATGTTTTTAACCATTGGACAAATTCCTGCCCGGACAGATCCAAAATCCAGTAGTGTTCAGATAATAAGAATTGCAGCTTAAAGTGCATCTGTCACCGACACAGAATGATGAAAAGAGTTGAGCTTCAATCAAACAGTGCAGTTTAATAAAAGCAAGAAGGTAATAATCTAGAGATACTAACTAAATACCAGCTTTCACAAATATATGGTATTCAAGGACTGCATCATCTACAGCCTGACATCACAGTTAGACACCTAAACACCTTAATCACCCAAACTTGTGAGCCTTTTCTGTCACTAAATAGATAAAGTGTGTTTTGGCACAAAACAGGTGACAAATGCACACCACCAATTGCTGCATCAAGGTAAATGTTCCAAGCACACCTAACTGGAGTGACATCTTATAAACTCCAAGGTCCCCGAAGCTGACAGGAAGCTCTAAAGTACCCTGGAGATAATTGTAGTTTGAGAAAAAATCTGTCAAAGTATGTATACAAGAATTGACATAACTGAAAAAAAAAGGAATTTATACAAAATAGGGAGATTAAATCGTAATGTAATGTAAATGTTAAATAGGACTCAATTTCAAAAGGATTGTTTTTCCAATGACAGATGAAGATAAGGATTGCATATCATTTCCGGCTATACAGTTAAATATAAATCACCAATGAATGACCGTAGTTCATCAATGGCCTGACAAAACATGAGAATGAGAGAAATCATTTTATATATCTTTGTTTGGAACATAGTCCTCTACTCACTGTGCTGTGAAACGCCATTCTGTTGCTTTGTCACTACAATCACCTAGGCAAAAAAAACTGTGTGGGTGTCGTGTGCCAAACCTGTAGGAAAAACTGTGAAATTCTATCATTTGTTAGCTTGAATTTGGTCTGCTTATAGTATCCTTAAAATCCTCTCTTAATCACATGCTGTCAAAAGTTTTCAGGGTATTTTGAATAAAAAAAATGTTCCAGTGAAAACTGTTCAGTGAGGTCTGTGGATTATCCAGGACAGTAACCAGGACATAGTTTTGAAAAGACACATCGCTGTTTTTTAATGGTGTGAACTGCTAAAATGAAATTCTATGGAGAGAAACAAAAAACTCAACAGGTTCCCAATTTAGGTGTTGTTAGACTAAGTACAACTGACCTCTAATACTTTAATGGACTTTTTAAAGTATTATTTCACCTTTTATAACACAAATCAATATTAGATTAATTATAATTCTAAAAAACAAATTTTTGCATTGACAAATAATGCAATCAGCATCCAACATTTACACATAAGGATATAAGGTTCTTGATTTGTTTGCTGGGACACAAACAATAAACAAAACCAGATGGCAGAGATTAGAAATTAATTCTATCACTTAAAACACCTTAGAAGTGTGTTTTTATGAACAGATTTTCAGAAATGTTCTCTCCGTAACGATGTAATATTATGCCTCTAGACTTCTCTAGGGAGTTGCCCTTTGAAATACTATTTTCATGGCATCCCCGCTTTAGACAGTTCACACTAAAAAGTAGGATAATAAGGGAGACGGGGATGTGGCAAACAACAGATGGTCATGCTGTTTCTGACCCCAAGACATTACATTTACATGTTTGCCGCCCTCCCGATATGACTCGAAAAATATTCCAAGACATAATGCCAGCAATTGCCCTTTTAGAGATTTCTCCCCCAGTGATTTTCAGAGTCTGTGCACTTAAAGCACCCCACTTTATCCAGATAAACACAGTGCTTTTCTAACATATGGTTAGCCCCAGTTTGTGCTCTTAATCACTGTGTTGAGTTTTTTCACTGGTAATACCATTGGAGTCAGCTATTATTATTTTTTATTCCAAAATAAAAAGCCCCAAATTTCAAATATCCCACTTGACCATTGACAGCACCTACCAGGGTTTTAAAAATGTTTGTTAAACCGAGTGAAGATGGCAGCTGGAAGTGATAGCTGACACAGTTTTGGTTATTTGTCAAGATGAGCAAGAAAGTTACTTGGCTAATTGACCATCTTTGGCTAACAATTTGAGATACGTTCAAAGTTTTTTTCTATATAGTAACACTACACTTCAATCCTGTTTGCTTGCATATTACTATCCTCTCTAGATAGAAAATCTGTTGCATTCCTCCTGTGAACATCTTGTGGAAACATCTCTGTGACGTATGATTTACAGCCTTGACTACGAGTTAGTTAACGGAAGCTAACCCAAGCTAACTGTTAATTCTTACAGTAACCTTAACAGAAGAGAATTGTAATAACATTTTTGTATATTATCTCTGGACTTTTGTAACTCTTAAAGTTATAAAATAGCGAGCTAAATACCTAAGTAACTCCCATAAAACAGACAGCATCAATAGCTGTGCTGAGGTCGACAAATTAAAATGCTGCCCCCTAGTGGTCGTTAGGATGCATAACATATACAAATAGTCAATTTGTACTAAACCCCGGGATCAGCAAATACCCTCCTTTCTGCATAATACTCTGTTTTGGGTGGCCCTGTATTCTCAATATTTCCATCAATAAGTCAAATGTCTATGCTGTAGATATTTTTGTCAGGTTCCCCTGTGGATAGTAATATATAGGCTACAGCACGCTCTATGTAGGTGAGATCATCCATGACACACTGTGTGGTCCTTAACGTCTGCACATCTGCCTTGTCCAAACTCTATCCTCTCACTGTATTCACCACTTTCCATGGATAAAATTTGCGATAAAATGTGTGTCTATATACATATGCATACATACATATAGCCTATATATATGTTTGTGTCAAAGTTCAACAGAATATTTTG